AATAAACGTTACATGCAATACGTCAAACTTGCTTAGAATAATTCAAATATTAAGCATGGAAAGTTTGAGTTACATGCATACGTGAAAATATGCTAAACCCGAAAGATTAAGATAGATTGTGAATAGTAAACGGGTTAGTCGGATAAGATAGATAGATAGAGCGAATTATGTAAGTTCAGTATGTAAATGAGAGAGGCTTTTTATAGTGGTTCGGAAGTGGCGTAATCTTCATAGTCCACTTTACTCCATTCACTTTTAGGAGTAATTCACTATTTTCCACACACAGTTACAATAGTGAATAAGCGCTACACAAGCACTTCTTCCAGATGTCTTGCACACAGCTACACCCAACTCCGAGTGTGTCGCACACAGCTAAACTCAACTACGAGTATTTCGCACACAGCTATACTCAACGCCAACCAAGTATTTTGCACATAGCTACACTTAGCAACTCCGAGTGTTTCTCACACAGCTACACTCACTAGAGTATTTTGCACACAGCTATACTCTTCTAACAATTACAAATACAAAGGTAATTGTATCTCTCTCCAACTATTTTTGAGACTATTCAGACTAAGTCTCTAAAGAATATTTGAGCACTTGCACTTGTTTATCCGTGTGTATCTTCTTTTTGTATTCACCTCTATATTTTCTTTAAGTCTTCATGGCCCTTTTATAGATAACCAAATTTATCCGTTGGAGTGGGATAATTTGATATTTGAAATTTGTATCTTCATGGCCTGATATTGTTGACAACAGTAGATCTTCAATTTTGATTTGATTGTCAACTTGCCTGACAAAATAATATTTTATCTCAACTTGATTTTCAAGTTGTTTCTTAAAATATTATTTTTGTTGTCAATTTGAATTTCCAACGAATCTTTTGAAATAAATCCTTCTGATAGAATTTATTTCTAGGATAAGTTTTTATATTCATGTCTTCATAAATATTTTTCCGTTCTGATCAATATCTTCAGGAAATTTTGGATTCTTGTGACATGTGGGCTGATTCAAAATAAATTCCTTCGAATATATCCATTTTCAGATCATCTTGCTTCTTTGCCACATTGTGCTCCTTTGACTTAGGCACTTCTTGCTTGTTTGACTTGAACATTGTACTTTTCTGATTTGGTCACATTGTGTTCCTTTGGACACATCGTGTTTGTTCACATTGTGCTTCTTTCGACACATCGTGCTCCTTTCAGACATTGTGTTCCTTAGGCATCGTGCTCCTTGGGCACATCTTGCTTGTACACATCGTGCTCCTTAAGAATATTGTGCTTGTCCGAATTCTTGACTTGTATCTTGCTTGTACACATCGTGCTCCTTAAGAACATTGTGCTTGTCCAAATTCTTGACTTGTAAAAAATAAGTCCTTGGGGGGAATCAATCTCAGGTATGATCGTTTTTTGTAAGGACTTCTACCATTTCGCCGTTAAGCTCATCAAGTCATTTTGTAACGCCATTCCTTTATGGTTCTTTCCCGGATGAATACTTGTAGGACCAAAATTAATTTTGTTCTTCATATGGTAGATTTCTTTTGACTCGATATTCTGATTTATGATGCTTGCACTAAAAGACCTAAGATCTAAGGGGATCTAAAGTACATTTGGCTCATCAAAACTTACAAAAATATTCCTATCAACAATGACTCCCAAGAGCCTTTTTCCCAGCTGGGAGATGTTCAAGAGTCCAAGTTTGATTGTCTTCGAGGGCCCGAATTTCATTTTTCATAGATTCTTTCCAGCCGCTATGTGTCATCGCCTCCTTAAAAGATTTTGGTTCTTTTTCAGAAAGAATTGATGCCATAAAAGTTCTGTATGGTAGAGAAAAATTGTCATAATTTATGTAATGTGCTAAAGGATAAGGAGTACCTGAGGGAGACTGTGGAGACGGTGTGACGGACGATGGACTTTTAACAACAGTAGAATTAATAACATAGCCGCGCAACCACACTGAATGAACTTTATTTCTCATACCCCGACCCGTCTTAACATTCTGATCTTGGTTATTCAGAACAAGATTACTAGTGTGTTGTTCAGGTTGTGAGTTGAACTCGGGTCTGGAGTCTGACTCTGGTTGAGAGGTTGCCTAGGGTGTAAAGCTTGGCTCAAGTTTTGGGTTTGGCTCGTTTGTGGAGCTGGACTCCACCTCATCAATGATTACAGAAAAATCTTCGTGAAAAAATTCTTCATGAGGAATGGTAGTTGTATCCGCGCGGGGAAAGGGAAAAACATCCTCAAAAAATTTCACATCACGGAAATAAAAAATTCTTTAGTTTCAAGATCATATAGCTCCCAACCCTTTTTCCAAAACGGATATTCCACAAAGATGCACTTTCGACTCTTACTAGCAAATTTATCACCTTTGCTTTTTAATTGTGAGCAAAGCATAGGCTCCCAAAAACACGAATTGTGTTGTAAGATGGAGGACTACCAAAAAGAATTTCATAGGAACTTTTGTTATCAAGCAATGGTGTTGGTGTCCGATTGATTAGATATGTGGCCGCAAGAACACATTCTCCCCAAAAATAAATTGACAAACTGGCTTGGAATCGCAAAGCTCTCACTACATTGAGAATATGTTTATGTTTCCGCTCAACCCTACCATTTTGTTGAGGAGTTCCCACACAAGAAGTTTGAAATATAATTCCAGTGACAGAAAAAAAATTACGCAAGCAATGGAATTAAATATCGTTGTCACTCTGAACAACTTTGATTGATTGAGAGAATTGTCTATCAATCATAGTCACAAAATACAAAAATATTTTGAGAACCTCAGTTTTATCAACCAACTAATAAATCCGAACTGCTCGCGAATAATCATATATTATAGTCAAGAAATAATGTGCACCATAAGAGGATTGATGTTTGTAAGGACCCCACAAATCACAATGTATTTTCTCAAATATTTGAGATGCTCTGTTATTACTCAAAGGAAACTTTTCTCTAGGTTGCTTAGCACGAAAGCAAACCTCACAAGCTTTATTAAAACTTCCCACAATGCCAACAAAGGGAAGTAGCTTTACCACTTTTTCAGATGGATGACCCATTCGTTGATGCCAAAGATTGATTGAAGTTGTCACACCATTTACTGTAAGATGTTGAACTGAATTGGTTCCCTTGAAGTAGTAAAGTCCATCCCGTCTAACACCTGTTCCAATCATCTCCCTCGATTGGTCTTGTATAGCACACATATGAGAGTTAAAGTGGACACTACTCTGCATATCATCATTTAACTAAGAAACGGAAATAAGATTGCAACTTAAAGACATAACATAAAGAACATGATTAAGAATAATTTTGTCTGTTAATCGAACTGAGCCTTCTTGAGTTGCAACCACTGTTTTTCTGTTGTGTAAACCAACATGGCAGTGAAATATATCTTTTGCATCAGCCATCTGAGTGGAATCACTAGTAACGTGATGAGAGGCCCCTGTGTCAGTTATCCACAACCGTGCATCAAACATACCAGTCAATTGAACCCACAACCGCCTACCTACAGTCCTACACAACAACACTCCTGCCAACCCACCACCTCTATACATGATACAATTTCAGTCCAAAATTTAGCTTAACATTTCATTCCGAAAACACAGTTCTAACATACCCAAAAACAATTTCAGTCCAGACTCCAGAATACATAGCTTAGCATTTTCAGACCCAAAAACATATCATAGCCCAAAATATTTTTAACTCATACTAACCCTAAAATGGCTATTCAAAGAAGTAGAGATTCCAAAATAGGTTATATATGGGTTTTGCAAAATAAGGATAGAAGAGTAAATCACTTACCTAAAACACCCAAATCTTAGCTATTTAGCTCATTCAAATACTCTTTGTCAAAATTCCTAATATTTTCAAACATCAATCTTAGGGCTCAAATGTTAAACCCAACTCAAAAAGAATGAAATATGGAGGTCAAACTTACCTAGAATACTCCAATAACTTGAGACCTAAGCTTGAAAAAAGTGGCGATCAAAGCTTCAAGATTTTTCTTTCCCCTATCTCTCTAGTCCACTCCCCTTTTCTTCTTTCAAATGAGATGTTTATCCAAAGACTAAAGTGGTTTCTTAACCTTTAAGGGTAAGGAAGAGAAATTTAGTAATTTTATCCAATATTAAATTTGGATAAGCTTTGACTTGTTGACCACATTTAATAAACATAAATATAATTTTATTTCTAAGATAGTGGGTATTACAGATTCAACTTGGGGTATTTAGTTAATGAATCTATGTTGTGGCCTTCTAAGTTAGGGTATTCATCTGCATAAACCTCTTTTATACTAGATGGAAGCTCTTGAAAAATTTGAAGCCTCCCACATCCCACTAGATGAAGTTGCTTAACTCAAGTGAGGCCGACAGAGGACTCATATGGGATACAACTAAACTTGTTGTTGCTAAGATTCAGTACTTTCAAACAATGAAGCTCTCCAAGATCACCAAGAATAATGCCTCCATCTAACAACTACAATCACTAAGGTCCAGCAGTTGCAGTGAAGATAACCCAGATAGAGAAGGAAATGGTGAAGCCTTGATATCTTGAAAAGCTCCTGCTGACAGCAGCCTAGAGAGGAAGAATTAACAGCTCTTTTGTAATGGAGAAGCCAAAGGTTTGCATCCATGAAATGATAAAATCTTGAGTTTCTTGATAAGTGAAATGGAGGATGGTAGCTCTTGGATCGATGTTTTTGTCACAGTACAACTCTTCTAAGCATTCTATTTCTCCCAATTCATCTGGTAATTTCTCAAACTTGGAACAACCAAAGAGAATCACAACTTTCAGACCTTTCAATCTACAAATGCTACTTAAAAGGCTTGTATGATTCTTGCAATTGCTTACATCTATTAACCTCTGGTTTGTGAGGTACTCGATTGATGATGTCACTTCTCTTATAGCGGTAGCCCCATCATGTACTTCTAACAAGCAAGCCATGGGAGCTGTAATTTTTGGAAAGTTTTCGAGTTTCAAGCAGCTTGAAAGGATCATTGTCTCAAGCTTCTCTAAATGAATGCCTTCGGGAAGCCTCTTCAAATTTACACAATGCTTATGGTTAAGTGAAATAAGTTTCTTGAGAAATCCAACAGAAGCATGAATCTCTATAAAACTTGTACACTGTTCTAGATTCAATGTTTCAAGATTTGGGATTCCTGTGAAATCTGGAGTCCTAATTAGTTTCTGAGAGTGGCTCAGATTTATGAATTTCGAGTCTCAGTGGAGGTAGTATTGACTCGTTGGGCTTTAGTAGGTTGAGAAAGTGTATATGAACAGATGTTATGACCCCTAAACATTACCTGAAAAGTCAATTAGACCCATAAACTTTAAAAAAGTGCAATTACACCCTTTAACATGTCATATTGAGGCATTAGGTCCAAGATCAGGTAAATTGTAACACCCCGTGTTACGACCTTCAAATCTGAATTAATTATTAAATTAATTCCGTTAATTAAAATAGTTAAGAGGGATTTAATCCAATTATAATTCTTTTAATTAATCCAGGCGGTCCGCAATGAATCGTGGACCTTTGCCTGAACTAGGAACCTTAAGCCCATAGCGAATAAGGAAAGTGAGCCTTATTATTCAGACTCTGAATAGGTTTCCCTAAAACATATAAATAGAGGATTAGGAAGCAGATAGAACCCTTCCTCACCTCCCTCTCACTCGAAAATACTCTCAGGTAATCCAGCCAAGGAAATCCCCCACCAACAAGCCTAGGAAGATCAATCGGGAGAAGAATCTTAGAGAAGAACCTTAGTAGCCAAGGATATTGATTAGGGCTAAGAGGTAACCCATGTCTTACAAAACCTATTTTCCTTGCTATATCTTATTTATTGGCTCCTTTGATAATTGTATGTGTGATTCTATGATTGAGTCTTGATAGAGCCTTGCCTAGGATTTATATTGTGTTTATTTGATAATCTTGATGATCTTGATGTTGTGATTGATTAAATGGGTAATCTTGTATTTTAATTATGTCTAGAGTTTGTCCCTATGGTTTGTATCGTGAATTTCGTATTATGGTGTTCTTGGTATATTTGGGTGAGTTTATGCATGATCGGGTGTTGAGTCTAGCCTAGGATTTATCCTTAGGACTTTGCATGTAGATTTCTTGATGTTCTTGGGGTTCCAGATGCTCCTGAACCGTTATATGATTGATATTGGGTCTTGGCATATTTAGGAATTGTGTTTGAACGTATTTGGAATGATTCTTGGTTTAATCTTGTTAATTGAATCCGTGATGTTGTTGTTGCGTGTTGGAATGTGTTTGGACATGGTTTTGAGTTCCCCGAACGAACCCGGAATCAAATTTCTACCATAGTACCAGTGGGGGGGGGGGGGGTAGGTGGGGGAATGGGTCTCCACCACCTACCCGCTGCCGGCGTGCCCAATTCTAGCGGGCAGTGGCCTGCCCGCTGGAATCATGGCTGCCCACCGGTGGGTGGTCCTCCACCCGCTGGAAAGTGGGTATGTGGCGTGGTGTTTTTCCCCGTTTGATGTTTCTCCGTGTCCCGTTGTGTCCCATTGCACCCCGTTTGACGTGTATGAGTCTCGTTTTATGTTTTTGAATACCGTTCTAGGAATTTATGTGTAGTACGTGTCGTTGTTGTTATGTCTTGATTGTTATTGATTGATTATATGTTGATTGATTGAATGATGATGAGTATCGTGGTCATTGCGCAATGATCGGTGTGACTAAAGATGATGATGATGTTGAGATTGTGATTGGTGGAAATGAATTGTTGACGGATGACACAACGAGTTCTCGGTCATTGTACTAAAGGTACAAACCTAGCGGTTACTGTGCTGAAGGCACAAACCCACCTTCGACTAGCTTGCCTTGAGCATGGGTCAGGTTATAAGTGCTGCGGTGCCATGTCGCGGCTATATGCGCTGAATCCATGGTATTGGTACTAGAGGTACGGATCATGCGAATGACACTGCGGCGCTATCATGGTATGAGGTGGTTGAAAAGTGGTTGGTCGGTGGGGGCATGTAGTTGCCCAGAGGAATAAGGGAGGCGATATAAGGGTGGCCTGGAGGTACAGGTTGGAAATGATATAAGGACGGAGGGGAGCCACAAGGTTGGAACTTGGTATAAGGTTGGAAGATGGATTGTGTGCTCGATGATTACTTGCTAATTGATTGTCTTTGGACCCCATTGTTGTCTCTATCTGTTATTTATGAGTTTATCTGTTTATCATGTCTTGTATTGCATGCTAGTCTTTATGATCATTCTATAGTGTCAAGTCTATTGTTACGTCTTGTGTCTTGATCTTGGTTTTAAGCTAGAGTTGCTTAGAATATATATGTATTCCAGTTTCAAAATGATTTCCTTATATCTACATATATTGTACTTAACGCGTTGGAGTGGGTTACTCAGCATTATTCGCTGACGGTTGCAACGATGTGTTTTTCAGGTGGCAGTCTTTAGCTAAGGAGCGCGTTAAACGGTTCGTGGATTTAGCTTAGTAGTAGTTAGACGGCCTGTGAGCCTTGAATTGTGTAAACAGATATTAATTATAGTTTATACCTTGATCAGTTAGTTTAGCCTGTGCATCTAGGTTCTCAAACCTAGATGTGGCATAACACCCCGACAATTGAATTTAGTTATGCTCTGTTTGGGATAATTAATGATAGCTTGCTTTATTTATATAAGCTTTTAATCGATTTAAAATTAGGGGTGTTACATAAATGACCTGCAATTGCAGGTCATTTTTAATTCCGACGACCGCCGCTTTCTCCATGGAAGGCGACCAACCCCTGGTGGAAGGAGACCACTGGTTGCCTTCTCATTGAGGGAAGGAGACCAGTGGTCACCTTCCGCTGGGGAAGGCGAGCAGTTCCGCTGGATATGGCGACCGACACTGGTTTGGCCGTCGGATTTTTACCAGAATAAAAAATGATTTGCAATTGTAGGTCATTTACATGTTCTTGGACCTAATTACCTCAATATGACATGTTAAAGGGTATAATTGTACTTTTTTAAAGTTTAGAGGTCTAATTGACTTTTCAGGTAATGTTTAGGGGCTTATTTGACCCTTTTTTAGGAAAAAAACAAAAAACATTTTAATATTCTTTAAAATGTCAAAATTAAGGTTTTTTTTTTTTTTTTTTCTAAGTACTCAACTTTCAATAAGTTGTGTGGAGTGTGGACTGAATATATAGATTTGAGAATGATCAAGATTGGGATGGAGGATTGGTTTGCTGTTTGGTCGGTCAATTAGTTTTGTAATTATAAAGTTCTAAGTTCAAAAGCTGCATGTTGGCATTCTCGGTTTGAGTCGGTTTTTCACAGTCTCATGTTTACCTCCTTGTGATTCTTTGTCAATTAGATCATAAAGCGAACTTCACTCAAAGTACACATTCGAGTAGCGAATGCAGACATTCTCGTAAATTTTTATAAAAAAAAATTGGATCAAAATATACACAAAGATCGCTCCAAAACCAAATCTTTTAGAATTAATATTCCAACAAAATCTCTTCATTACAATTAAAGCTCATGACAACAATGGATTTCATTTTCACCACGAGTAGGTCATCCAATTAATTCTTTAAATGCTTGTACTTTAGGGAAGAGACATTAGTTTGAGATTTTGACTTTTTGGACAGTGATTAGGTGGCCAAATTATTTGCTGAACAAATTTCCTTGGACAGACACATAATACTAAGGTTTTACACTAATAAATATTAATTAGCTTTTAGTTATATGCCATAGCTTTCATTTTTGTGATTGGATATATGTTGGGTCCCACACACTGGGCCCCATCCATTATTATATTTCTTTCACAAAATTGGACAGTTATACCGTGCACTGATGTCCACCTTGTATGGTGGATCTGGATTCAACATACACAATTTATATATTGAATATTTGAATGTTCATAATTTATATACTAAATATTCACAATTTATCTTTTACAAGATTGTAAATATTCAATAGGTAAATTATAAACATTCAACATGTAAATTGTATATTTTAAACTCGAATTCACCTTGCGGGTCCACAGAATCATTTGCCCACAAAACTTCATCCAAATATATATGCTTCTATAGAGCAGTACATATCTCACTACCTTGCCATGAGAGTGCATCAATTTTGGGTGCAAAATTGACATCTACTTCATGTCTTCATGGACAATGATTGAGGTCTAACACATATTTGTTGCCCTCACATGATGATTGTGCAATTTTTGAGTTTGATTCTTCTTGCAAACTCTTTCCAATGGGCCGGTAATCTATCTATCATGCATATTTAAAAACGTTATATAATAATAAGATAAATGCCGAGGCATTAAACACCTTATTCTCAGATGGCATGTAGTGACCTCTCTTATGTGGGAGGTCATGAAATCGAGCCTCAGTGGAGGTGTTGTTGACTCTGTGTGCTCTTATGTGGGAGGTCATGAAATTGAGTCTCAGTCAAGAACTTTGAAAAACAAAATTGGAAAAAAAGGTTAGCCCCAAACCTTTTGGGAGGTCATGAAATTGAGTCTCAGTCAAGAACTTTGAAAAACAAAATTGGAAAAAAAGGTTAGCCCCAAACCTTTGAAGATAAACATATATACAGGAGTAGTTGATCTTTTGATGTTGAAGATGTATTAACTAGTAACTTGCTTACCAATTAACTGTTCAAAGTTGCGGGATTGAGGTTTCAACATGTAAGTATCATTCAACAAAATCGATAGAGAAAAAAGTCTTCCTTTTTTTTTTTTTTAAAAAAAAAAAGGGAAAATTGTATCTTTAGTCCCTAAGTTATAACTAAGTTCTGACTCAGTTCCTAAGTTATGGCTGTTTTCGAGTTTATTCCTTAGTTATGAGCAAAGTGGCGAGTTTGGTTCCTAACGTTAATATTCTGTCTACAGCTAACGAAAACTTAAAAACAATTTAATAATAGAGGGGTAAAATAGAAATTTCAAATTATAATCCTCTTTTATGCTGAAACTCGTTGCGCAACAGTCATTCTTTTCTTCTTATACCTACAATTGAAGGTCTTTTTCTTCCCCAAGCTCTGAAATCTCCCACTTTCGTTAGATATAACTCATATAAGAAGAAAATAATGACGGTTTTGCAATGGGTTTCAACATAAGAAGGGGATTATAATTTGAAATTCATATTTTAACCCTCTATTATTAAATTATTTTTAAGTTTTCCGTTAGCTGCAGACAGGATATTAACGCTAGGGACCAAACTCGCCACTTTGCTCATAACTGAGGGACCAACTCGGATACTGCCATAACTTAGGGACTGAGTCGGAAGTTGGTTATAACTCAGCGACTAAAGATGCAATTTTTCTTTATATTTATTGTGTTGTATTAGTACGTGATTAAAATTTTATTATATTTTGTGTCAAATGGTTTGAACTATATAAATGTTGTTTGGCAATTGAATTTTTTGTTGAACATGGTAATTTGATTAATGCACATGTATTAAAAAAATACAAATAACTTATTTTTTAAAAATATAAATATAGGAGTCCATAAAGGTAAAGACGCCTATAGTGTTAATTTTTATTTTTAAAAATAGGAGCTGATAACGCAACGGTCTATGCACAGCTCCTCCGGACTAAGAGGATTGTCAAGGTCCACCTCGACATCAAAGTCTGCAGCAAGATCGAGAGAGAACAAAGACTCATTATTTAATGACCAGTAGCACCAATACGTATATAGCTTATTCTTGGCGTTCATCGGGGATTGATGTAGAACCTGATGTATCCTTGTGTGATTAGTAGTACCATTCCGATTGTAGGAAAGTAATGAACATAAGAATATCCAGTAAAGTAAAAAGAAGACAAATATAGAGCGGAATTATTAGTCTTTTATTAATCATCATTCATTCCAATATGTATACACCAAGTAGAAAGCACATAATTTCACAGTATAATTACAAGATGATAAATGATGAAAATGTATTATCATAATATACTACCTCTAGTAATGTTTACGTATATTTATTTATTTAGAACAATAATAAAATTTTAAAAGAGTTAATTTTCAAATTGATCACTCAACTTTTGAAATTTTAATTTTTCCCTAAAATTTTTAACATCAATAATTTTGCGATTTTCCTAATGAATGACCAAATTGAGTATAAAATCAATATTTAAGGGACTAGATAATTTTTAAATTCAATGATAGAAATGAACAAAGAAATTTAAATTTTACCATGCAAAATGTTAAATTTAAAAAATATTTTTTAAAAGAAAAATATTGGAATAATTAATATAGAGGGAATACCCAAAAATTCCACTGAAAGGTACAAGCAAATAAAAGCGGTAGTACAAAGCAAATAACAAAATAACTTCCAAAGAAATTAAACATGTTCCTATGGTGGAAGTGGAAATATAATAAGTGAAAATCATCATGTGTCATTTTTTCTTATTGACACTCAGGTAATCTCGTGACGATTGTAAGAAATTAAACAAGGAAAATGCTATTTTCCCTACTAATTTTTCATTCTTGATGTGATTTATATTTGTGTCCATAAATTACTTGACACCATAACGCTTATTTGTAATTAAATATTAAAGAATTGTCTTAAATAGTGTTACATGAGGAGGGAATTCAACATTAGAAAGAAAGTTTTTAAAAAAGTGTGCAACATCACTCATTTTTACATAATCATATTTGGTGGAGACTTATTTTGTATCATCAACTGTTCATCACTGGTTTAACATCATCCTCGTACACAATGCGCATTCCAATACCAGTGTATACCGACTCGAAATAACTAGAAACTTCAATTTGACACCATTCATTACAATCATTAAAGGGCTTATAGGACAGGCAAGTGAGCTCAGATTTCATATTCTGTTTAACCCCCTTATAGCCCATATTTGATCCAATCATTGTCTGACGACCATCACGAGTTGTGGGAATGATTTGGAGATCAAGTCCATAGTTTTTAGTTATACTGCAACGTCTCCGCCAACTTGTAGTAGTTATCAAGTTAGAAACCACACAGAATGCAAATCCCATGAACTTTTTATTGTACCAATTTAGAGGTAGGCTAACTGATAGTGAATTTCCTCAATTTTTATACGTAAACCACTCAGGAATCACCATGCCTGGAAAGTGGACACTAACCCAGTGATTTGAGTTTTTTGATAGTCCCTGTACCACCCACAGTACGTGGAGTAAGTAATCTAATTTGTATGTGTGAAACATGCATGCATATACAACTAATTACAAAGCTAGTTAGTTTTAATTATTCGGACATGTATGATAAGGATGCATGGATTGTAATGAATTACATACCTTGAGTAGGTGTTTCCATATTGCATCAACTATGTGATCGTTACGTGGATCCTCAAGTAGTTGAGCACATTTAGTGAATGAAACGTGTCTCAACTTTGGGTATTTAGTCAATGAATCTATGTTGCGGCCTTCTAAGCTCGGGCATTCATCTGCATAAACCTCTTTTATACTTGATGGAAGCAATGGCAAACTTTGAAGCCTCCCACATCCCACTAGATGAAGTTGCTTAAGTCGAGTGAGGCCGACAATGGATTCAGCTGGGATACAACGAAACCTGTTGTTGTTAAGATTCAATACTTTCAAACAGTGCAGCTCTCCAAGATCACCAAGAATAAAACCTCCATCTAGCATACTACAATCACTAAGATCTAGCCTTTCTAGTAAAGATAAACCAGATAGAGAAGGAAACGGTGAAGCCTTGATATCTTGAAAAGCACCTGCTGGCAGTAGCCTAGGGAGGAATGAACAACTCTTTTGTAATGGAGAAGCCAGAGGTTTACATCCACGAAATGATAAAATCTTGAGTTTCGAGAAGTGAAATGGAGGATGGTAGCTCTTGGATCGCTGTCTTGTCACAGTACAGCTCTTCTAAGCATTCCATTTCTCCCAATTCATCTGGTAATTTCTCAAACTTGGAACAACCAGAGAGAACCACAGCTTTCAGACCTTTCAATCTACAAATGCTACTTGGAAGGTTTGCAAGATGCTTGCAATTGCTTACATCTATTAACCTTAGGTTCGTGAGGCGCTCGATTGATGATGGTAGCTCTTGGATCGCTGTCTTGTCACAGTACAACTCTTCTAAGCATTCCATTTCTCCCAATTCATCTGGTAATTTCTCAAACTTGGAACAACCAGAGAGAATCACAGCTTTCAGACCTTTCAATTTACAAATGCTACTTGGAAGGCTTGCAAGATGCTTGCAATTTCTTACATTTATTAACCTCAGGTTTGTGAGGTACTCGATTGATGATGGCACTTCTCTTATAGCGGTAGCCCCAGCATGTACTTCTAACAAGCAATCCATGGGAGCTGCAATTTTTGGAAAATTTTCAAGTTTCAAGCAGCCTGAAAGGGTCATTCTCTCAAGCTTTTCTAAATGAATGCTTTTGGGAAGCCTCTTCAGATTTATACAATGCATAAGGTTAAGTGAAACAAGGTTCTTGAGAAATCCAACAGAAGCATGGATCTCTACCAAACTTGTACACTGTTCTAGAATCAATGTTTCATGATTTGGGATTCCTGTGAAATCTGGAGTCCTAATTAGTTTTTGAAAGTGGCTCAGATTCATGAATTTCAAATTGTCCAGGACCTGTATGTACAAGCTAAGTGAGACATACATATAAAATTAAAGAAAATTAATAATACGAATAAAATTAAAGCAAAAAAGAGATCAAATCAGATACAAATACCAAATAAATAGTACAGTTAGATAGATAAACTAACCTTGAATCCTTTCCAAAGTTGTATGACACGGCTATATTGCATTTTAAGAGAAACAAGTTTTTGTCCCTGGAAAGTAGCAGGAAAACTTTTTGAAGGATATCCGTGCCAATCTAGCCACCTTAACTCGGCAGGGAGAAAATTAGGGGCATGAGAAGCATTTGCATTGTGAAATTTGAGAAGTTTTAGCTTGGTCATGTGTGTGAAGGCCTCACTACTAACTTTCACATCTGTTGCATCCTGCAAGTTGAATGCTATACCTTGGATGTTTTCTGTACCATGACAATATAATATTTCACAAGAAAACAATTAAAATAAGGGATTCGATCGATGCATGGCAACATAATCTATCTATGTGATCTGTTGTTTACGTACCTCACTTCCTGCAAGTAGTCGAGAAATATCCTGAGGTAGCCACAACCTGCTATATCTTTTTGGATCATCTGAAGCTTCTTGGCGAACAATAGAACACCCCATTTCTTGTATTAATTGATGCATCAAAACACGACCTTCTGAAATAGTTATTAGAGATTTCTCTCTAAGAACCTTTATGCCAATGTAAGAGTGGAAGTCAAAACTATTAAGTATTCTTGTTATGGATGTTTTCTTCTTCCCATTAAAGAAGAATGCAATGTCTAAGAAAACCCTTTGTGTATTTTTGTTGAGACTAATGAAACTCAATTTAAGTTTCTCTAAAATCTCATCTTCTGGGATTTCCTTAAGTCGGGCAACTTCACTTCTCCATTCATCAATATCTCTGCCATATAGGAGGGAGCCAAAAAGTTTAAGAGCCAATGGAAGGCCTGCAGCAGAGTGTACCACTTGAGCTTCGAGCTCCTCAAATTCCTTGGAAGGAGGCAGCAACAACTGTTTATTAAATGCATGCTGCCTAAAGAGTTGAAAGCTTTCAGCTTCCTCTAGCACACTCATTTTAAAGTATTTCATAATCTTCACTTTATGGCTAATGAGCAAGTGTTTATCCTTAGTTGTTATGATGATTCTACTTCCAGCACCGAACCAATCGTTGTTTCCAGCCAATGATTCCAATTGATCCCTGTGATCAACATCATCAAGAAGAACAAGCACTCTTTTGCAATGCAGCCTTTGTCGTATCGTCATTTTTCCTTCAAACACATTGTCTATTTTCATATCTTTTACTGAAAGAATATTAGATAGAAGTTTCTGTTGCAAGTGCACCACACCATGCTTTCCCGACTCGCTTCTAACTTCATGAATAAAAATACAACCTTCGAATTCTTTTGAGATGTTGTCATACACAGCTCTTGCAATAGTTGTCTTTCCAATCCCGCTCATCCCAAGTATTCCAACAAAACGAACTTCATTAGACCCCAAGCCTATCAATCGATACAGTTTCTGCATACGAGGCTCCATCCCAACCAGTTTTGGATTATCAATTGACCTCGTTGAACCCAATTTAGTAACGATATCTTCAACAATTTTCTGGATGAACTTTGCTTCATGCCTATATACATCACAATAAAACACAGCAAGTACAAGTCATAAATTAATTAAAAACACAAATTAATGCACGTTTTTCAGTTGGATGACTTTATAATAAGACCCAACCATGGTTGAAAACATGACTGATAAGACCCAAGTCACCCAACTCAAATTGATTTTTGATTTAGGCTCTTTGAAAACCTTGAAAATATTTTGCGGAAAATGATTTTCAGAAAACGACTCAGTTTTCATAAAATATTTTAATTTTTTAGTGTTTGGCTGAAGGTTAGAAAATTATCTTTTTTTTTTTTTTGCTAAAGTGTCATCCCGCACCCTGAACTATAATGGATTCTTCATGCCGCACCATGAACTTTCATAAGTGATATTTAGATCTACATACCACTAAATTTTTTCCGTCTAGCAATTTTTGTAGGTTTTCCAGTTATAAAGATGAGGTGGCACTGGTAATATACTTACGTGGACTTTCTTTTTAAGTCAATCCTCCCAAATGATAAATATAATAATTAAGTACGAGCTAAAACACTCATCGTTTGAATTTGGCTCTCTCCCTCTTCTCTTCAGTAGAAAACCTCTTGAAAAAACCTCTATGGTGAGAGGAAAGTTCAAGGGGGCCGCCAGTTCTCCACTCCTGAGGTGATGAAGGCTGGTACCTCAGGGGCTGGTCGTCGCACATTGAGAAAGGAAGAAGCCGAAGTTGAGGAAGAGAGATATCTGAGAATGAGTTGGAGAGGAATCTAAAGGGTATGATAAAGAACAGAGGCAAATGGGTTTACAGGGCATCATCAAGATTGAGAATCCTTACTTAGTCCAAGGGGGACAGCCCTGCAGCGCCGGAGCCAGAACTTCTCGCTGCTCACTTTGCGTATGCCAGGTTTCTTCCACCGACCGCCACCACGCCCAACAGCCCCAGCCGACATCCTCTCTCTTTCTCGGTCTCATTCCACCGATGGTCACAGCCGCCACTAGCGGCCGTAGCAGACACCGACGAGGTAGTGACTGGATCTTCCGGCGTGAGCTTTGGCGGTGGCGGTGGATGCCATTGTTGTTGCAAACACTAATCCTAAACCTGGGAGGTGTCATAAAAAAAAATGGTGGTGCTCGAGAGCACATCAACAAAGGTCGCCATTGTTCAAGAAAGCATGTGGAAGGCCAGTCTGGCTATGTTGTTTCTGGTCTACCACTTCAAAGAAAAATCGGACTTCAATTCGTCAAGTAAAACCAGAGACAGAGAGTTGAATATCGATCCCCGGTGGCCGTGGTACTTGCTGATACGAACCCGTATCAAGCCGGCACTGCTTTGAGTGGATGCAGACTCCAAAGATGGAATTAGGGGAGGGGAAAATCAGAGAGAGAGAGAGGGAGAGAGAGAGAGAGAGAGAGAGAGAGAGATATTTCAGAGAAGGAAGATGATAGCAGAGAAGAAAAAGATAATAATAATTCGCATGTCTTTCCCCCTAGCATGCAGGGTGATTATATACTAAGTTACTCCTATTATGCTTAGGACTATGATTCGTAATTAATATGATATAATAACGTATTAGGACTAAACTAATGTACCCTATTACGAATAAACTTAATCTAACAAATGTAATCAGCCATCAATGTCGGTTTCCTTCGTTCTCTCATTGGCCTAGTAGCATTTTCACCTTCTTCCATTGTGGATATACTCGTATCACTCCCCTTCCCTTCGACAACCACCTTGTCCTCAAGGTGGAGATTCGGGTACCATCGTTCCATTTCATCGGCAACTTCCCAAGTGGCGTTTTCTAGACTACTATCTGATCATTGCACCAAGACTTGGCGTTGTATTTTTTCCATTTTTTAGAACATTTCGTTCCCCACAGAGTGCTAGTGGAGTTGAAATTGGTGATTGGCCCACAATTTCATCCGGTAATTGGACCTCTATATTTTCTTCAGTTTCTATGTGTTTCTTGAGTTGTGAGACATGGAATACTGAATGAATTCTTGCTTGTGGTGGTAGCTCGAGGCAGTATGCATCTTCCCCTATTTTTTCCAAGATATTGAATGGACCATAATAACGTCGTGCTAGTTTGTTAGAGCTTCTACGTGCTACTGATATATGTCTATATGGTTGTAGACGAAGCCAGACCTTATCTCCTACTGAAAATTTCACTTCGCTTCTTTTGGCATTGGCTTTTTGGGCCATGCGATGCTGAGCTTCCCGAAGATTGTGTTTCAGTTGCCTTATCAATCTGTCACGATCCAACAATAATTCATCTAGTGCTTGTACTGTTGTTGTGTCTTTTGTATACGGTGCTAAGGTGGGTGGTGGTCTTCCATATAGTGCTTGAAATGAAATCATTTTAATGCTGCTGTGGTAGCTTGTATTGGCGCAAAATTCTGTCCATCCCAAGTACGACGTCTAATTGGTTGGTTTGACGTGAGTAAAAGCCCTTAAGTATTGCTCTAAGCCTCGATTCATTGCTTCTGTCTGACCGTCGGTCTGTGGATGGTATGATGTGCTTCTCTTCAGTGTTGTGCCACTTAGTGTGAATAATTCATCCCAAAATTTGCATAGGAAAATTGGGTCTCGATCTGAGACGATTGTTGCAGGGAAACCGTGATGTTTTGCCACTATTTCTATAAATACATTAGCTGCTTTCTGTGCACTGAATTGGTGTTGTAATGTTCCAAAGTGTGCATATTTAGTAAGCCTATCCACAACTACAATGATAGTTCCTTGTCCTTGTGATGTCGGTAATCCTGTTATGAAGTCCATGGTTACATCTTCCCAAACTCTCGAAGGAACTGGGAGTGGTTGGAGTAGTCCTGCAGGGGGTTGTGTTGAATATTTGGTTTGTTGGCATACTTGGCAGGCTGCAATGAACTTTTTCACATATTCCCTCATGTTTGTCTAATGAAAATTAGCTGCAAGCCATACCAGTGTGCGGGTTACCCTTGTGGGACCTGCCATTGGGGTTGAATGGAACTCTTGTAGTATGTGAGATTTCATCTTAGAGTTTGCTCCGATGCAGTATCGACCTTTATAGAAAGCTAAGCCCTCTTTGATTTTATAATTATTAGGTAGTCTCCATTTTGTATTTTTTTGGTGAAGTTGTAGTATGTCAGGTTCTGAATTATTTTCCCTTCGTATGGTCTCTAGAAGTTCTGGGATTGGTTTACTTACTGTGAGGAATACTTCCCCATACGATGTATTCGGAGTTGCCTCTTCTTCTCTCCTTGAAAGAGCATCTGCTACTTTATTACTACTGTCAGGTTTGTACTCTATTTTGAAATTATACCCCATTAATTTTCTAACATAGTGCTGGAGAGTTGGGGTTTGTACTACTTGTTGTAACAACTCCTTTAAACTCTTATGGTCTGTGCGGATGGTGAAAATCTCCCAAGTAGGTACTGTCTCCATTTTTGTACCGCTTCTACAATGGCAAAAAGCTCATTGTTATATGTTGATGAGTTTCTTAAGCGCGATCCCAACTTTTTGCTAAAAAAAGCAATTGGTCTGTCGTCCTGCACAAGAATTGCTCCAATGCCTTCATTAGATGCATCTGTTTCTACAATGAAAGGCTTGCTAAAGTTAGGGGGTCTTAAAACCAGAGTCTTTGTCATTATAGTTTTAAGGGCTGTAAATGCTTCCTCTGCCTTCTGTTCCCATTGGAATGCATCCTTTTTTAAGTAAGTCAGTTAGCGGGACTGTGATGTTTGCATAACCTTTTATGAAACGGCGGTAATATCCTGTTAGTCCCAGGAATTCCCTTAATTGTCGGATGGTTTTTGGTGTTGGCCAATTTATCATTATGTCAATTTTGTTAGGGTCTGCATGCACACTTTCATGATCTATTATGTGACCAAGATATTCGATAGAAGTTTGACAAAATTTGCACTTGCTCAACTTTAAGTAGAATGCATATTGTTTTAGTGTGCCAAGCACAACTTGTAGGTGGTAAATATGATCCTCCAGTGTTTGGCTATAAACCAAGATGTCATCAAAGAATACGATTACAAATTTTCTCAGTAATTGGTGGAACATGTGGTTCATAGTTGCTTGGAAGGTAGACAGGGCATTCATTAACCCGAAAGGCATGACAAGAAACTCATAATGTCCTTCGTGAGTTCGAAAGGCGGTTTTATATATGTCACGGTCATGCATCCTTATTTGATGATAGCCTGCTCTAAGATCTAATTTTGTAAACACCATTGCTTGACCTAATTCATCAAAGAGCTCATCTCCAGTAGGAATAGGAAATTGGTCACGTATTGTTGCAGTGTTCAAGGCTCTATAATCTACACAGAACCTGTAGGTCCCATCTTTCTTTTTTACGAGTAGGACTGGAGATGAGAAAGGACTTTGACTAGGTCGGATAACTCCTTGATCTAGCATTTCTGTAACAAGCTTCTCAATTTCTTCTTTTTGGAAGTGTGGGTAGCGATATGGGCGAACATTGATTGGCTTGGTTCCCGGATTTAAATGAATCCTGTGATTGAAAAATTTATGTGGGGGTAGCGTAGCAGGTGCTTGGAATAGTTTCTCATGCTGCTGAAGTACTGTTATAATTTCTAGTGGTATATATGTAGGGAATTGTACCACTTCTATAGATTTTTCAGTATTATTTTCTTCTGGCGGGGATTCAGAACCACGTATTAAGAGTAACTCATAGAGTTCCACTATTTCCCTTGTTACTACTGTTGCTTCTAATTGATTCAGAGTTATTTATTGTGGTGCCAATGAATGATTTCCTTGCAATTTAATCTGGTGGCCTTTCCATTCAAACTCCATGGACACATTAGCATAGTCATGCTCAACTTTTCCAAGTCCCCGTAACCATTGAATTCCCAATACCATGTCTGGGCCTTAAATTGGAAGTACAAAGAAGTCTACCAAGAATTCAGTGCCTTGTAGTGTCAATGATACTTGTTTACAGCTGTGGGTACAAGCTAGAGAATCTCCGTTACCAACATATACCCGAAATGGTGTGACCTTCCAAGTATGTAACTGTAATTGCTAAGCAATTTTGGGTTGCACAAAGTTATGGGTGCTGGCACTATCGATTAAAATCTGTAACCTTCGGTCATTAACTTCTCCCAAAATTTTAAGCGATCTGGGATTACCCGGGCCTGCAAAATGAGTTTAGACTGGAAATATCTCCTGTGATTATGTCATCTTGTCCATGCACTATGGTTTCTTCTTCTAAGATTGGATCTTATATATCATCCTCTTCAGTCCCCATTAACATTAGGAATTTGGTTCGATACCTATGATTGGTTGACCAACGTTGGTCACAGTTGTAGCAGATACCTTTTTCTCGTTTTTCCCGCATTTCTACAGGTGTTAATTGTTTAATGGGGAGATTTTGTGTTGATTTAGTTGAGGGTGGTAAAGCTAAGGTTGTTGTCTCCCTTTTGTCTTGGTTTGATGTTTGTGTTATAATCGGGGCTGACCGTGTAGTGTTTGCAGATGGTATTTGGCGTTGTTGCCACCTTAAGGGTGCTCGTGCATGTTGGAGCTCAGCCTGAATTTCTTCCAATTTTGCTTCATATTCTCGAGCAAGATCAAAAGCTTCCATCAATGTTGTTGGTCGTGCCATCTGCACTCCTCGTCGAATAAGTGGTTTAAGCCCTGCGATGAACATGGAAATAAGGATATGTTCTGCAATCCCTGTAACTTTATTCATTAATTGTTCAAATTCTGCTTGATAGGCAGTGACTGTGGTTTGCTGTGTCAATTTTGACAATTTTTCTTGGGAATCCTCAAAATGAGACTTCGCCGAACCGCTTTGTGACATTCGGTAAAAGTTCCTTCCATGTAGTTAACATTACATTCCTTTTCATCCATTGATACCACCCAGAAGCATTCCCTTCTATTGTGAATCCTGCTATTCGCAATCGCTGTGTGTCGGGTGTATCATAAAAATCAAAATATTCTGGAATTCTAAATATCCAACCATGAGGATCTGAGCCATCAAAGCGAGGTAACTCCAGTTTCATATGAAATCGTTGAGTCCCTTGGCCACTCTCCGGTCGCAAAGATGGTTGTAGATGATTATCAGGTGGAGGTCCTAAAGTTCCATGTGTTTGAGGTTGCATTGCTACATTTTTATTTGTTGTTACCATCGTTTCCAACCGTGACACAGAGGTAATGAGTTGTTGAATGAGTTAGTGATTTGTAATAGGTTGTCTATCAAAATTTTCTTGCAATTCGGCAATTGCCTGCTCCCAAGGACGAGTTGTTGATGTAGATTGCTTGTCTGACATAATGAAGTAGGATTATAGTTTTGAGTGTGTTAAAGAACAAGAAAGATGAGTTCGATGCAATGAGAGCACCAATTTATACGAACCCGTATCAAGTCGGCACCGCTTTGAGTGGATGCAGACTCCAAAGATGGAATTAGGGGAGGGGAAAATCGGAGATAGAGAGAGGGAGAGAGAGAGAGATTTCAGAGAAGGAAGATGATAGCAGAGAAGAAAAAGATAATAATAATTCGCATGTCTTTCCCCCTAGCATGCATGGTGATTATATACTAAGTTACTCCTATTATGCTTAGGACTATGATTCGTAATTAATATGATATAATAACGTATTAGGACTAAATTAATGTATCATATTACGAATAAACTTAGTCTAACAAATGTAATCAGCCATCCATGTGGGTTTCCTTCGTTCTCTTCTTGCTTGAGTTGTTTCTTTTCTTTCTCCCAATTCTTGATTTTCACCTTCTTCCACTGTGGATATACTCGTATCACTTGCCCAGCGGTTGGCGTGAATCTCTGCGACGATGGCGGGCAAGGAGTTGGATTGACGTGAATGGAGGTGTTGACTTCGGTCTTCGCAAAAGTGGGTGGTTCCTCTGACATGGTTTGTCAATCAAATGCTCAACTCAAAATTCAATTGGATTGCATGCAATACAAAAATAAAAGCTGGAGTGAAGAAAAGTTAAGCTCTTTTGCTATTGGTTGGCTTGGGCGGTGGAGTCTGCTTAACATATAGACCCAATAAGAACAATGAGACTGAAACCATGCAAAAACTGCTACGTGAAGACGACCTGGTGGTGTGCTCGGAGATCACTGAGCTGGCCGCCGAGATTTAACTCCCTGTTCGCCGAGCTGGTCGACGAGATCGTGCCGGTGGCGATGGACTGTTGGGTTGGGCTTCCCTCCTATGTGGAAAATAGCCCATGTTTGGATCAAGCCTTTTTTGTATCCACTTTATTTTTTGTTGAGCCCTAATTATTATTATATTATATATAATAATAATATTTTAGGGAATATAAGAAGTTGGAGTGATGGAAGAGTTATTTTGCTCTTTAAAGCATGCATGTGAAAGGTTAAAAGAATTTTTTTTCTTTATCCCTTCACATTCCCATTTTGGTACTATAAAAGAAGCAAAGCATTCTTCTCCAACATTACTACACACACATGATATTGATTTGGCAGTAGTGCAAGACAGTAGAGAGCAATGAAACAAATTAAAGCCAAGTTTTTTTGCTTCTTTTTGCCTCCTTGGCCGGTCTTGTGAGGACATTCTCCACTACATTTAGCGGCACGAGGGCAACGTGTTCGGCGGGTTTTGTCACACGTTTAATGGATTTGTCGTGAGGTTTGCTGAAGCTCTTAGGTGTTTTCTTCATCAAATATTTGAAGAGGTCAGCTTGTTTGTTCCAGGCATCGTTTTGGGTAATCTCGTAATATTTGTATTATTCTTTTCACCTTGCTCGTGGTGGTTGAATATTTTGAGTACGAGATATTATTCATGTTTAGCTTGTGAAACATTATAGAAGTCTCTGGCCTAGAATTGTTGTATTTGATGATTTTTGGATGTTTGGCTCGGGTGGTAGCCAGAAACTTTATACCCAAGATTTGTGATAGTGAAATTGTCGTTGGTGGTGGTCCGTGGTTTTTCCCCGTGGTTTTGGGGTTTCCACGTAAATCTTGTGTCCATTGCGTTGTCATTATCTTTGGGATATTGTGTTATCTCGTATTTGTGGACCGTGTCGGGGTCTGTGATTTTCATTGTCACAGGAAGTGAAATTTTTTTCAACATGGACACACCGCCACCACCATGTTCTACGGTATTACCGGTAATAATATGCATTGGGTTTGGCTAAGCATATATAATTAAAGAATTAATGAAGCTGACATATCAAATGGAAGGCGAAAAAAGAAAAAGAAAATTTCATGTCAGTGTATTAATACCGGCAACCTGTAAGAAACTTGTAAAAATTACTAGACCAAAAAACTTTAGTGGTTTGTGGATCTAAATATTAATTATGAAAATTCAGGGTGCGACATGAAAAATCCATTATAGTTCATGGTGCAGGATGACACTTTAGCATTATTTTTTTATTTGACTAAAAGTTAAGAAATTGTATTTTTCCGTTTGATTCACTTCTCAAAAAATAAACATATTGTTTGTTATAAATTTATAATAATAATAATAATAATAATAATAATAAGTAGAAGAAGAAGTTGAGGAGGTAGTGTTGGTGTTGGTGATGGTATGGTGTTATTAGTTGTGGGTGCTGGTGGTGTGGTAGTGGGGGTTTGGATGCAACCTTTAATTTGCCTATATAATTTAATCCTTTCCTTAATTACAGCAAAAACTTTAAAGATCAATGATTTTGATTCATTTTAATACTACTATGGGTGCAAACTTTGCCAATCTATATAATTGCGGATCCAAAGGATTAGACTTAGATTAAAGCTAAGGAAAACACCAGTGATCTGATCTGAGTATGAACACATAGAGTTTATGTTATTTACCAATTTTCAGTGTTGTCCAGATCCGATCCTAACATAACAAATTGGATACATTCTCCAATTTTGAGTGTTACTTTAAAATTGATAATTTACTACTAAAATGTAAAATATTACTGGAAATCCCAACAGAAATTAAAAATCGATCAAACTGTAATAAATTGGCTTATACGGAGCATAAATAATCATTTGATCGAAAAGAAAACAACTGATTTTCTTTTTATGAAATAATATTTAATAAAAAAAAAAAGAAATTGAATTTTAAAAATAAATTTCATTTGGGGGGGAGGGGGGTAGAGTTGAAGATTATTTACCCATTTTCAGTGTTGTCCAGATCCCAACCTGACAAATTGGATATATTCTCTAGCACTTTTCTCCATTTCTTCACCTTTTCTCCTTCTTTCTCAAACCTCTTCTCGTGTCCTTCAAAGGCTTCTCCATACTTTCCCTTCTGTTTCCTCACCATCGATGGATCCACGCCATAGAAAATGGGAACAACCATCTGACCTTTCACCTCCATACACTCCATGATTTTCACCAGTTCCTCCAAACACCATGTGGAATCAGCATAGTGCTCGGAGAAGACGACCACCGCCATGGACGATTCTTCGATTGCCTTCTCAAGTGCGGGCGAGATGGACTTTCCCCTTTCCAGCTTCTCGTCGTCTTTGAAAGTGTAAATCCCTCTTTGCTACATCGCAGCGTAGAGATGGTCAACGAAGTTCTTGCGGACGTCTTCTCCTCTGAAACTCAAGAAAACATCATAGGAGGAACCACATGAAGACACAAAAGAAGGCTGTTCCATTGCAATTGTGAAGAAAGCTATGGCCGCAAAACTGGATCTGCAGTACGAAACTTAATCCACTATGCGCAATAACTAATGTGATGATGATTTCTTAATAGATAAAAGTAAACACCGGCCTGAATTTTATAGGGCATGATTAGAGTAGTTAAGAAACAAAGAATCCATCAAACTTACTGTATAAAAAGCTGCGCTCGCTACATTTTCTAAAGGGGTAGGTTTTGTTTCACTCAATTATTTCAAAGATGACAATGAGTTTATGACTATTATATTTTGATCGATCTAGTCCCACCAATAAAGTCTTCCCACCAGCCAGACAAGTCAGCCCTGTAGTGTGAAAAATCCTCTAACACAGTCCCAAGCTAAGGGGCTTTACCAGATGCCAGGTTGATGCATGCAACCATCTTCAAAGATACACAAAGGGCGTCCTTTTGGCGCTGTCTTATTTGGCGTACGACTCAGGAAGATTCATAGCAGCTACCAGTGGACCGTTACCGTATGTTGATGATCCCTACCAAATGGAAGCTATGGCGTGTCGCAAGGCACTGTCCTAGTTAAAATCTCGCAAGGAGTCCAGGCAAGAAGATGGGGAGGTTACGAAAAGTTGTAACTGCACAGAAATGATATTGGCTGTGTTTGGTAAAAAATTAGCTTATAGGTCAATTTTGACTTATTTAACCACTATTAAATGTTTGATTTAATTAAAATATCAATACAAGTATTTGGTTAATTAGCTTTTTGTAACTCCAAAATGCTAAAATTCAAAAAGCTACTCCAAGCAACTTTTTCAAAAAAGAAATTATACCAAACAGCTATCCGCTAACGGCTAATTTACCAAACACTTTTCTACAATCAGCTAATGTTATCAACTAGTTATACCTTCTAATTAACACAATCACTAACAACCATTTACCAAACAAGGTCATTATATAAGGTCTCTCGGATCAGACAAACAGCCTCATTCAGTCCTAATAAGCTGTCATCTACTTTAATGTTTCTTCCAGCTACTCCACAGCCATGGCTGCCTTTGTACATATGCCTACGAGATATACATAGTGGATTTCGACTTGACTTAGTCTAAAGAGGCCTGTGGTTTTCACCATTTCGATTTCCACATTAAATATTTTTGTGTAGAGAAAATTACACTTTTGGTCCTGTGACTATTGTGGTCTTGTTAAGAGAAAATTTCAAGTTTAGTCATATGACTATAGGAGCTTTGTTAATGTCAGCACCTGACTTTCAAAAGTGTCAATTTAGTACCTTGACTATGTAATTTTTATCAATTTTGGTCACTCCGGTCAAATTGCCGGCCAAATTTCGCCGGAAAATTGAACAGTTAAAATAATGAGGGTATATTAGTCATTTCACATCTCTTCCTTCTTCTCCAGCAAATTCATTTTTTTCGGCCAATCCGTCGCAATAGCACACCTTCCAAAGCATACTTAAACTCATCCGTCCAAGCCGTCGCCGACGATTTATTAGGGTTCAGATGGCCAAAATTCCAGATGAAAACATCTGACCATTTGTGTAAGGGGAGCTTGAGATATCGGCGGACCTAGAAATATCCGAAATGCACTTCTCTTAGTGCTTGCCCAGTGCACCTCCTGCCAAAATTCCGGTTGAAAGCTTTTCCGGCCAAAAAAATGCTTGCTCGAAGAAGATAGCGTAATGCTAAAACTGATGTGGGTGCCTATTTATTCTAAAACTTCTCTATATCAACATTATGCTAAAATTGATATTGAATAAATACTTCTCTTTTTGGATAATGTTGAATAAATACTTCTATTTTTGGATAATGTTGAAAGCATCGCAGCGCACCTCATCCTCGGATTCACCGGAAAAGATGAATTCGCCGGAGAAGAAGGAAAGAAATGTGAAATGACTAAAATACCTTCATTATTTTAACTGTTAAAATTTTCCGGTGAAATTTGGCCGGAAATTTGACCGGAGTGACCAAAATTGATAAAAACTGCATAGTCAAGGTACTAAATTGACACATTTAAAATTCATATGCTAAAATTAACAAAGCCTCTATAGTCATATGACCAAAATTGCAATTTTCTCATCTTGTTAATTTGAATATTTGACTTTAAAAACTATCAATTTAGTCCTGTAACTATGCAATTTTTAACACATTTGGTTCTCCTGGCCAAATGTCGTCGAAAAGTGTATTTTCTTTAAAATTGTTTATTTATAGGAGCAAAATGGTCATTTTAAGCTAAATGTTCTTCTTCTTCCTTGATGCGCCTGCTGAAAAGCAAAATACATTGTTCAAAATACGCAGGTGGGTGATGCGCCTGCGGAAAATGTTGTTTTTCTTCTTCATTACTCGGAGCATTTTTGCCAGTGCACTCAGAGCAGCAGGTGGTGCTAGGCAAAATACACTTGGCCAGAAAGAAGCAAAATATACAAAATGTACCCTCTGAATTCTAACCGAAAACCAGAGGCGGAGACGGCACCGCGGCGGTTCGGCAGAGTTGCTAGCTTGCTGCGGCTTCGAAGTCTGGGCTATGCTTGTCTCCTCCTCGTCTGCTATGCTCACTGGAGAGGGATTACCCTACAACGCCGCCGGCAAAAATGGGCTAGGTGAAGCCCGGATAAAGTCCATCGCCATCTTCAAGTACCGGAAGGGAGATGGAGCGATGGACGGCTCAATTGCCCACTTTGCCTCAGCGAATTTCAGGAAGACGATTGCCTCCGGAAAGCTTGTCGGAGTTGCAGAACCTCAGGTTTCTTTGAATCAGCCGGAACTTTCTCTCCGGCGGGATTCCGTTGGGGCTTGGTAAGCTCCGGAGCCTGCAGGCTCTCGATCTCAGTTACAATCAATTCTCCGAGAGCATTCCTCTGGCCATCGGAGCGTTGCCGGAATTTTCCAACGTTATTCCAGTCACTCGTTGTCCACAAAATTCAATGAAATGCTTGTGGTTTACGCCTAAACCCATCCCCAACACTTCCATGTCGCACTCATGCTTCCTTCTTCGCGTACAAGAGCAGAAAGCGAGAACAAATATCTTTCCCCTTTTTTTTAAAGCTTAAAACGACAATTTTAGCCCCATGATTAAACAATTTTAAAGAAAATACATTTTTCCGGCGACATTGACCGGCGATTTCGTCGGGAGGACCAAATGTGTTAAAAATTGCATAGTTACAGGACTAAATTGATAGTTTTTAAAGTCAAATATTCAAATTAACAAGACCACAATAGTCACAAAACCAAAAATGTAATTTTCTCTTTTTGTGTACTTATTCTTTCTCTTTCTCTAACACATTATTTTATTTTGAGAATTCTATATTCCCCATCAATGGTGCTCTTGTTGAGAGCTCGACATATATGCTCGAGTTTGCTCTCTAATTAACATTTCTATCGAACCCAACACCAGAACAACGGCAAGGTTTCATCCTTGCAACCCCCGGCCACACCAACATCGCCCCAGGTGGCAACAATCCGGTCCGGAGCTCCAATATGGTTCACAAAACAGATTGGGATGTGGTTTCCAGAATTTTGTGGTCTTGTCCATTTTCTTCCTGATCTTTATCAGCCCACTTGCATTTGAGAAGGCGGTTCCGACCAGTCCTGCAGCGAATCTAACAGCAACAAACAGAGTGCCCCTGTACACGAAAGTGCCGGGCTCAAACATGTGACTTGGGGGACAGCTCGCGAAAATGGAAGGTAAACTCTGGCTTACAGAGGAAGCAGTTGGCGCCAAGAGATACATGAGCACGAAGTTCAAAATGGAGCCGACGACCAGAGTCGAGATTATGATTAGAATCTCCAAACTCCCCGTAATTATCGTTGTTGCATCCACCAATTAAGTGGACCATTTTAAGGGGTAGAGCCATGGCCCGATTTTAGGGCGTGTAAGATGGGCAACAGCATAGGATCTCAATTTGTAGAGAGCCCATTATTTATTTTTGACTTAGCTGCTTAAGAAATTTTTTAAAAAAATTATAATTAATTCTAAAAGTCATTAGTTTTATCTCCAATCACTTCTCTTTCCTAATAATTAGGACCTAATTAATTGACCACCAATACCATTCCCCATGGGAGATTAGGCTTATACTTTTAGAAAGACCTCATTTATTTATAAGAACGGGATCGCAAAACTTCAAAAACCGGCCCAGAGTGGAGCCATGTAGCTAACGAATGTTTGTTTGTAAGAGATGGATGGTAAGTGGGAGGAATAAAGATTTCCGAGTGTCGTTTTCACCGGATGGCAACTTAGAAAGGTTCAAGTGTTTATACATGTAATGTATTGGCAAGTATTGTTAGGTGCAAAGGTATTATTGTAAGTGTACAAAGCATGAAAGTACAACAAAGCTAAGAAGCAAGGAACAATTAAATGGAAACGGAATTGGACAATAACTTCCCATGCAAATGCATTTTTTTCTAAGGTAGAATTGATAAGGTGCATGATAGTTCCTAAGGGAGAATTGGCACAATCCCTAAGCATTACAAGACTTAGACTCTTAGGCATCACAAGGTGACTAAGGCATTTTATTGAACATGTGGTTTACATCTCCTTCCGGACCTAACCCTCTCGGATCGTAGGGTGAGAATTGCAAACAAGCAAGACTTTTATGAGATGGGATCCCAATCTCTTGCAGTCTTGCAAACCTCTTATTCTCACAATCCTAACCTATTGTGGCCATCAATCAAACTTGGCTATCGTATGTTAACTATTTTGCATGAGCAGTAATCTCCTAGTGATGTGGTGTGGCATAATCTGTGGCATTTGAAGATTCCCCCAAACATCCAGAACTTCTTATGGCGGTGCATTAACTGTGTTGTCCCAACTATGGTTGCATTGGAGTCACGGAGATTAGATGTGGATGTACTGTGTCCCCTTTGTCAACAACATCCAAAAACATTTTGTGTGAGTGCATTCGTGTGGTTCCTCTTTGGGTAATCTATCTATCATGCATCTTTAAAAACGTTATGTAAGAATCAGGTAAATCATATTACAAAAATGATATAATTTTTTATATATATGTTTTTACTTGATCGTTAAACTTTTCTGTCCTGAAACTTTGAAAAAATATATATTGTAAATCCAAGATTTTGGAATCCTTAAACTCAATGCATTGTTTTCATAATCTGAGATAGAAAAATGATTGATATGAACTTTATTCAATTTAGCAAGGTCATTTTTAAAGCTTTAGTGTTCTTTGTCAACCAACACTGCAGGTCAAACAAGAAGTCAACACAAGAAGAGTTAGTTGAAGATTAGTTTTGTTAGT